GCCTTGAAGCGTATCCGGAGACCAATGGGCAGCCAGTGCAGCTCGCGGAGGATAGGTGTTACGTGGGTAAACCGAGGTGCACCCACGATCGCTCGCGCGGCTGCATTCTGGACAAGCTGAAGTCGCCGAATACTCTTCAAGGGCTGCCCCATGTAGAGGCCTTCCCCACCAACCAGCAGAGTGGCCACTAGCAGGTGACAATGGTGGCCCAAAACTGGCTGTCGCCATTGAGAAGAGCACCTCTCTGGGTTTTGTTCCTGGCCACTGGCTGACCAAGCCAAGGACAGGGTTTGGGGTGCCCAACTTTGACAATGGGGAAAGAAGGGGGCCACAGAAAGCACCTTCTTGATACTTGTGACCCCCAAACCTGCTGCTTCCACCCTGGGCGGCTGGCATCCCTCTCCTGCACATCAGAAGAGGATTCACTTGGCAGCTACAGAGAAAGGTGGGGAGGGTCCTCTTTTAGTCCCCTCCCTGGCCTTGCCGCTGAACCAGCTGAGGGGGGGGGGGGGAGGAGTGTGGCGGTGTCATAGTCATTCTTATGATGCAGGCTACCCTGGCACCCTGGCCTGACTTCAGCCATGCCCTGGAAGCCAAGACCAGGCTGGTGGCTGAGTATCCCCTGCTCCTGGCCCGCTCGTCCTCCGGCCATGGGTAAAGGGAGGGGTCGGCCCGGGGGTCACGGGCAGAGGGGCCTCGGTGGGGCAGCATGGAACAGTACGAGCCCATCCTCAGCATCGGCCAGGGCTCCAGCGCCGAGGTCTTCTTGATGAGGAACGCCAGCACGAAGAAGCTCTTTGCCGTCAAGAAGGTCAAGACGGTGCCCGGGAAGCGGCTGCGCAGCAAGGAGGCCATCCTGCAGGAAGTGGCCATCCTGCGGCAGCTGCAGCACCCCCATGTGGTGGCCTGCCATGGCCACTTCCTGGACACCGAGGAGGCGCATGTTTTCATCGTGCAAGAGTACTGCGACGGGGGCTCCCTCGACCAGCATATCCAGAAAGGGGGTCCCTTTCCCGAGAGCGTCATCATGCGGTGGTTTGTGCAGCTGGCCCTGGCGGTGCAGTACATCCACACCCTGAGGATCTTGCATAGGGACATCAAAGCCTCCAACGTCTTCCTCACCCAGACCTGCATCCTCAAACTGGGGGATTTCGGCATCTCCAGGGTGATGGACGGCACCCTGGAACTAGCCAGCACCTTTGTGGGCACGCCCTATTACCTCAGCCCCGAGCTCTGCCGGGACCTTCCCTACAGTTCCAAGGCAGACGTCTGGGCCCTGGGCTGTGTCCTCTTTGAGATGTGTGCCCTGCAGCCCCCCTTCCAGGCCTTCAGCATGATCAGCCTGTTCCATAAGATAGTGAACTCCAGCCCCAGCCCCGTCCCGCCCAGCTACCCGGCCCCCCTGCACAGCCTCATCCAGAGCATCCTGCAGAAGGACCCCACAGTCCGGCCCAGTGCCAGCACCATCCTCACCTTCCCCTACGTCCAGCAGCACCTCAGCCTTTACTTCCTCAACCGGGAGCCTCGGCTCCCCCGCCAGCTGCCGCCCGAAGCCCCTCCCGAAGGAGAGGGGGCTAAGCCCAGTCTGCTCAAGGCCGCCCCAGAGGGCTCCCTGGCCCCCTTGAGTGGTGCAACCGAGGCGCCCGGCTCTACCTGGCGCCCCTCCCTGCAGCGCGGCTGGACCCTCGCAGACAGCCCGAGTGTCTATAGCAGCGCTTCGCAATACTCGGCCGACTTTGAGGACACGAGCACTTCTTCCATTGGCAGCAGCTCAGATGCAGATTTCCCCGTCAACACTGAGGCAACCGAAACCTGTAAGCCTACTTCGCCAGACACAAAGGCTCCCAAAGGCTTCAGCCTTATAAGGATGCTGAAAGACTGTTCCCAGATCCCTTTGCCACCCTAGAAGAGCACGGCTTGCCTGCCTAGTTTGCAGTAAAGCGTGCCCGCGTGCCCACTGTTGCTAAGTTCATTGCAACAGTGAACCTGAAATGCCAGCGTCCGTGGGAGAACCTATAAAACATACGGTGAATTTAGTGCAGGCTAGAAAGTCCCTCTACCCCAACAGCCAGTTTCTCAATAACGTGGGAGGCCAAAGGTGGCAGTTTGGCATCCTTGAGAAGGCGTTGCTCACAGATGATGCCAGCCTCCTTCTCACCACTGGCCCTCCCCCTCGATGCTTGCCCCTCTGCAAGCAGGAACATGTGGAGCCTCCTTCCCCTTACCTGACCAGGCCTCCCCGTGCAGCAGGGGGCTGGATCAGGCTTCAGGAAGCCAGTGGCACCCTTCTTACTTTGCTCTTTGAATCCTGCTCAAAGCCAAAGCCTTTCTTAAAGCGCGCCAGACTCTGGGCTGGAAAAGGCTCCAGAGAACGAAGGGCCTTTCCCAGCCCAGACCAACCCACTTCCTTTTCCTCCTCGCAGCTTCTGAGGACAACTGGGAGGCCCGGGACTTTGAGGACTCGGAGGAGGCCGCCCTGGCCGATGCGGTGGACACGCTTGAATGGGCCATGCAAGACAGTAAGTCCTCTTCGGCCACTGGGAGCCTGCAGAAGGCACATGGGTGGGGCCGCTCTGCTCCACAGCTTCTATGGCTCACTTCAGCTCCGGGAAGGCCCCCCCCCCCCCCTCTGGCAACAGGGGCACCGCCAGGCTTCCCTTGGCAGCAGCACGGGGCACCTTGCTATTTCTTCTGGGGCTTGCTTGGACCCCTTAGTCTGGCCTACAACTCTGGCGGGCTCCCATCCACCCAAGAATTAAGCAGAGCAGAGCGAGCGCTAAGCAGCACGCAGCGCGTTAGCCCGGGAGGGTCATTTGTTAATTCAAGGTTGGGCTGCAAGAATCACTAGGCCTGTGATGGCGAACCTATGGCACGCATGTCGGAGGTGGCACACACAGCTCTCTCTGTGGGCACCTGCACCGTCACTAGCTGGTCTTCACAGGTACTGGAAAACAGCCCCCAAAACAGCCGAAAAACAGGTCATTTTTCAAGCTGTTTTCAGAGCGTTTTTCGGGCCATTTTTCCGGGTGTTTTGGGGCAGTTTTCTGGGGTGTTTTTTAGAGCATTTTCAGGGTCAAAAATGGCCTGAAAACAGCCCAAAAAGCAGGTATGCATGCGCCAGCCAGCAGGTCTTCGGGGAACCAGCACCCCTGTGTGCATACGCATGTCCCAGTTTGGGCACTTGGTGCCGAAAAGGTTTGCCATCCCTGCACTAGGGAACACTGTTTGATGCTAACACAGCCATTCGGTTGGCCAAGAGAACCTGCTGCTTTCTGTTACCGTTGCAGCCTCTGAAACTGCTTCCTTGCCAGCCCCCTCCCTCCATTTTGGCCTCCCTCTGCAAACGATCCCGTCCTTAACCTGGCCCAGGTTGCTACTGGTTCCCCCTTCCCCAGAGTTCCCTAGAGCAGTGTTTCCCAACCTTGGCCACTTGAAGATATCCGGACTTCAACTCCCAGAATTCCCCAGCCAGCGCTGGCTGGGGAATTCTGGGAGTTGAAGTCCAGGCATCTTCAAGTTGCCAAGGTTGAGAAACACTGCCCTAGAGAACCCTGACTGACCCCTCTGGCGCTCTTTTGACCCAGCTCACAGTGGCCAAAGGGAAGCCTCCCGTGGAGGGTTCAGATGAGGCGCTCAGCTGCCCCCCCCCCCAAACCAAGCCTTCTGGTGTTGCCCATTTTCAGATGACAGCGACTTTGGTGGAAGCGACTCCGGCAGCTTCGGCTCCAAGGACTCGGAGCGCCTGTCAGGTTGGGAGGATTTCGAGGACACGCAGGTCGGCCGTTTGCTGCGGAGCCTAGATCTGGAACAGGGAGAGGGCAGCGCCGGATGCCAACCAAAGCGAACGTAAGGGGGCTGCGGCCATCCCCCGCTAACCCTGGAAAATCAGTGAAGGCAGGATATTCTGGTCCACCTTCCCAAGCTATCACCTGTAGCTCCCCTAGCAAAAAAAAGAAGCTCAGCTCAGAGGTTTTTTGCACTGCAGCACCAGTGCTGCAGTTGTTCTATTCCCAGAACCAAGATCCGTTTTTGTAAAAAGATTTTATAAAGAACTGCCAGAAAGAGCTGACCCAGTAAACGTACAAGACCTGCTTAGGAAAAAAAACCACTGTAACCAACTGCAATCTCTTCAATTAAGTGCCTCCTTCTCCTCCTCCTCCTCCTCTTCCTCATTCCTCCGATGCTTTCGGAATATTCCCTTCACATGCATATACACGTGTTCATAAAACCTACAGACGCGTCTGACTGTTTCTTTCATGAACAGAGAGAACAGATGGTGGCTTAGACTCCCCTCCCTCTTGTGGGCATAGGAAGAAAATGCCCCGGGGTGGAGTAGCAATAGCAATAGCAGTTAGACTTATATACCGCTTCATAGAGCTTTCAGCCCTCTCTAAAGCGGTTTACAGAGTCAGCATATCGCCCCCACAGTCTGGGTCCTCATTTCACCCACCTCGGAAGGATGGAAGGCTGAGTCAACCCTGAGCCGGTGAGATTTGAACCACTGAGCTGCAGATAACAGTCAGCTGAAGTGGCCTGCAGTACAGCACTCTAACCACTGCGCCACCTCGGCTCTCCTAAGGGTAATTCCCCTTAGGGACAGAAATGTTTAACTGAAAACTCATCTCTGCCAGAATTGGCCCCTAACCCAAGAGAAATGAGGACTGGAGCCTCGTGGAATCCCCTGCTCCCCTTGCCCATCCTGTTTCCTACTGCAGAACCACACAAAGGGTCTAGGAAGCCCAGAGAGAAGTATGGAAAAGGTTTATTTATCAAACCGGAAATCAGTCTGGACAGGAAGGGCTCAACCGCTGCTCTGTTTAGCTGCCAGCCTCTTGTCTCTCTCTTCCGCGATAGTCAGGCGGATTCCTTTTCCACGTGGCAGAGAGATCCAAGGCTTGTTGCCCTGAAGTTCGAAAGAGAAAATACGTTAGGGAGAAACACGTTGCGCACGAGCCATTCCTGGGGATGCTAGAAGCAAAGCATCTTAACTTCCTTCCGAACCGTAACGATCTGGTTGCTTGAGAGGGGGGTGGTCAGTAGTTTTGGGCCCAACTGAAGGGATTCAAACATTCCAGAAAGCCACGATCCAATTCCAGCTCTGCAAGATTAATCTCTGGAAAGCCACTGGGCCACCCCCCCAGAATAGCCAGATCAGCATGGATCAGAAGTGGAGGCTTCTAGTGCTCCTCAGATTAAGCACCCTTAATAAACAAACAGAACTGAATTTGAGGGCTGCAATCTAACAAACTGAAAAAGCAAATTATTGATATGGGGGGGGGGGAGAAATCAAACTGACAACTCTCACCATATGGACGAATACTAGTTCAAGATCTAGCCCTAGAAGCAGTTTTACCTAACTAATCGCAGTTGCCACCCGTGCTCCCATCTGTGAACACTTGTGCGCCGACTCATTTTTCTAAAACTAGTTCTCGCTTTCATTGCAAAAAGATTCGAGCAATCTTTCTTTTAAGGACGTTTGAAAAGTTCAGGATATTTAGGCTTTCATTTTCAAAGGTGTACTGAATAGTTTTATGGTTTCTGAACCGATTTAAGAATTTGAGAATTTATCAATAAAAATTCAGAAATAGCAATAGCAATAGCA